AAAAGGTGGTCCGATACACAATACAACCATTTCTATCATGAGAGTAGCTAGAGGAACAAAAAAACGGAATAGAATCAAAAGTGACAAAAGGGGCTTCCATGAGTGCTCCATGCTTGGCAAGTGTATCAGCCACGTTATTTGCTTCACGATATGTGTGCTTGATCAGCACCTGTTCAAACTGTTGGGTCAACAATCTGCAGATGCAATCAAAGTCTTATGATTTAAGCATTTCATAGAGTAATCTGCTAGAGCATTGACTACAAAAGTAGAATCAGTTTCCACTTCAAGCAGTTTAATCTTTAATTTCGCAGCTAATTCCAAGCCGATTTTGATGCCCCAAAGCTCAGCATCATATTTGTTCCATATCCAAGATTCTGTGCAAAGCCCATGACCCAAGCACCCTCATGATTTCTAATTACTCCACCAGCACCAGTGCAGGTTTGGGTGAAGTTAGAAGATCCATCAGTGTTCATTTTAAACCACCCCTCCCTTGAGGGAAGCCATCTAATAGGAAGGTAGGTGCAGGAAGTAATTCTCCTAAGATGGGGATTAGAGGAGCAGAGTTCTGTAGTAAGGCCTATACTTTTTGAGGCAATTTCCTGCAAGTTAGAGTAGTTGTAGAAACAAAGATTGTTTCTATCATGCCACAGGTTTCAAACAAGGTAACAAAAATAAGTTACCCAAGGAATTCTAGGATGGGTGACCCAAAATTTAGAGGTGCAATTAGCTTTAAGCCAACTAAAAAGGTTAAGTTGGAAACTACCATAAAGAACAGATGAGATGGATATGGATTTTCAGAAATTGATAATAACAGGACAGTCTCTAATAAGGTGAAGGGCTGTTTCCAAAAATAATGAGTTGTTTGAATGTGAACAATCTAAAGTTGAAAATGAACGCTTGTCCAACGTACGTAAAAGCCAAAAAGAGATAAAGGACGTGTAAAGAGGAAGAAAGATAAGGACAGAGGATACCTCTATATGTTGGAAATGCACGCTTAATTATCGAAGGTAAAAAAATCACAACGCAAAAAGTTTTCCACCCGGACACGACACGTGAAGGTGCAGGTGCAGCTGCTCTTTAAAATGCACCATATTAGAAAGAATTTGTTTAAAATATATGTTTTTATAATTAATTTATATAAAAATAATAAAATTAATTTTTATTTTAATAATATCATTACATAAATAATTTTAATTAATTAATTAAATTTAAATTAATTTTTATTTTTATACATTAATTATAAAAAATATATTTATTATATATTTTAAAGTGGTAAGGTAAAAAATCCTATTAGAAATGCACCCTTAATTATTGACAGTAAAAAAGTCATAAAAGAAAAACTTTTTCACCCGACACGATGACACTGCAGGTGCAGATGTAGCAGCTTTTTTAAATTTACCATATTAAAAATGTACGGTTAATTATTGACGGTCAAAAAGTCATAAAGCAAAATGTTTTCTCCCGGAATGATGACAAGTGCATGTGCAGGTGCAGACGTAGCAGCTTTTTTAAATTTATCATATTAAAAATGGACTCTTCATTATTGACGATCAAAGTCATAAAGCAAAAATTTTCTAACCGACTTTAAATTTATCATGTTAAAAAATGCACACTTAATTATTGACGGTAATAAAGTCATAAGGTAAAAGGTTTATACGGCCAAAAAAAAATTCTTTTTAAAATTTTAAATTTAT